AATGTCTGAATCTCTGTAATTTTAGCACACACACACACACACAGGAGCTTAATGTCAGTTCACTACATGAACTCATCTCTTACTCGAAAGGAGACACAAAGAGTTTATTTTCATTATTGTGTATTACTGTTGGTTGTTCTTTCGGTTATTAAAATGTTAATGTTGTCTGCCAAAGCAGAATTTTACAATTGTTGGTCAATAGGTTCGATTATTTAGAAGGTTTGTCAATGCCAAGTGTTTATATAACCCTATCATACTCTGTATGGACAGTTGTGTTTCCTGGTTTAAGCTTATTCTTAATCTTGTTTCCAACACTGAGGCAACAGTCTTTGGGGTAAAACCATTTCCTGTGTACAGTTTGAGGGTCCCTGTAGAAATGAAATTTTCTGAGTTTGAGCCTCGACCTCAACCACATCCAACACTTTTTGCTTTATCACTCACGATCAGTGGCCGACCTCCACTAAAGCTCCCTGCAGCCAGGTGCCAAAATATTGTGCAAGGCCAGAAGACTGGAGGCTGTCATCAGCAGCATATTAATGTTATGAGACATTCTGCACTCGCTTAAGGGTGTAATGTTCCCGTGTCCACACACTTTTGGCCACGTACTGTATTCCTTATGCTGTACACAGAATTGTTATGCTTATGCTGTTAATCTCTCTGTTTTATTCCTCTTTTACAGCAAATACAGAGCAATTTTGTAGTCGTCATCCACCCGGGTTCAAGGACACTCCGCATTGGCCGAGCAACAGACACCCTTCCATTGACAATCCCACATGTGATAGCGCGCAGACACAAGCAGAGTGGACAGCCCAGATATGAAGATGCCTGGCTGTTGAGAGAAGGTCTAAATGTACGTCACTCATGCCTGAATGCACCCACAATGCAGTCTTTTATTCTGTGTCTCCACTGTGCTCAGTCACCTGTCCTTTACCCTCATTGTTTTCCCCCCACTGTCCGACAGAAACCAGAGAGTAATGAGCAGAGGCAGAATGGGCTTAAAATGGTCGACCAGGCCATCTGGTCCAAAAAGATGTCAAACGGCGTGCGGAGGACACCTGTGTCGGCTGAACAGGTGTGTGTTCTGTAATGGAGCATTGGGAAGTAAAAGAATAATTGCATATGTAATACTGTAATATTCACCGACAGCAGCACCCTTCCATTCAAATGACACCAATTTACAGAGTTCACTGGAACATACATTTACATTTTAAACCTCTTTATTTTGCTTTTAAATTGTTTGGTTTAAGTGACTTTTCACCTTTTTGACAGAAATTTGAATCACTTTGTGAAGGATGTCACAGTGAATAAAGGATTGAATGGCTAAATTAAAGTATAATGAATAACTGTACTGTTTTAGAGTCTAGTGCTGTAAGATTCCATATGCAGAAATGAATAGAAGAATTTTATCCTTTTTTTGTGTGTGTGTGTGTGTGTGTGTGTTTGTGTGTGTGTGTGTTAAGGCCAGGGCTTATAACTGTCAAATCCGTCCGGCAGTACTAGACAGCAGCTCCAGGGTGAAGTGGACCAACACAGCCCACCATCCTCCTCATCTGGTGGGAGAGGAGGTCAGTGCATCCTATTTAATAAGACATCTACAACTTTGTGCATAACTGCAAAACTCGTTTTACGTTTTTCAAAGTTTTATCCATTTTTCTTTATCTTGCTTTCCCTCTCTCTCCCACCACCCTTCCATCCTGCCATCACGCAGGCTCTTCATGTGAATCCATCTGACTGTTACAACATCCACTGGCCTATGGTCAGAGGTCAGCTCAATGTGCACGCTGGTCCCGGAGGCTCGCTGACCGCCGTCCTGGCTGACTTAGAGACGATCTGGAGTCACGTCATTCAAAAGCAACTGGATATCCCCCTCAAAGACTTAAAGGTATGAGAAACCTATTCACCTCTTTGTATCGCTTTCTTCTGTGGAGCTACTCTGCAACATGTTGAAAGTAGAAATGAATAAAATGAAAAGAGATAGACAAAGAAAGGCTTATAATAAAAGTGTTTTATTTATCTTTAGCTTTGTGTGTAAAAGTTTATTCAATGTGATCAACTAAAAGGCCCAAAAATAAGGAACATCAGAATGTAAGAAAAAGTACAAGAATGCATGTAAAAACCTTTAGCATTACCTAGAAGCACAGCTTCACAGGAAGGAGCATTTTACAAAGTAAGTTAAAGGGTAGATGAATCAGCAAAACTCAGGCTCTAAATGTTAAGGGTCCCAAAAACACACCGAAGAGTTAATTAAAGGAAAAAAACAAAGTTGTACTTGATAAACCTTAGAAATGAGACTATGCTGATAGTGGAAAAGCTTTTCTTCTCACACTAATGCTTCACCTTTTTTACTGGTTTCCAGTATTACAGATGCATCCTATTGGTCCCTGACATCTACAACAGGCAGCACATCAAAGAAGTTGTCAACATGCTGCTGCTTAACATGGGATTTTCAGGTATTACACACATATATGCATGTACGGCTTATTCAGGGTAGGCCAAGAAACCATCCAGCCTGTCTTCCTTGCCATTCCCCTCACCCTCTTCCTGTTTTGTGTGTATGTGTATTTATAGCCATCATAGTGCACCAGGAGTCGGTGTGTGCTACTTTTGGCAGTGGGTTGAGCAGTGCTTGTGTCGTGGATGTTGGCGACCAGAAGACCAGTCTTTGCTGTGTAGAGGACGGGGTTTCCCACCGGAACTCCAGGTGGGCCTAAGAACCCCTTTTTGTTAAATGTATTTAAAATGTATTCATCCAGGTTATTGTTACAGATATCGTGGATCCCTTTTACACATGAAACCCAGAACAGTGACATACAGTAGAAAACAATATTGAATGTTTGATTAAAAATGATGATTATGATGAATATTACACTGCATGTTCTTTTTGTGTGCTGCTCTTGCAGGTTGTGTTTGGCATATGGTGGCTCAGACGTGACCCGTACTTTCTTCTGGCTCCTGCAGAGGGCGGGCTTCCCCTACAGAGACTGTCAGCTGTCCAGCAGACTGGACTGTCAACTGCTGCAGCATCTCAAAGAGATCTTCTGCCATCTAGACCAAGTGTGTATTGGTCAGGGGTGGGGTCTTTCGGTTGATCAGTTTCAGTAAAGCGTTCCTGTTTAGATCGCCACAGTTGCTTCTCAAGAAAGGATAAAAAAAAATCTGCTGTTCAGATCCAAAATGTCTTTCCTTTGCTTATCCTTAACAGGACATATCAGGACTACAAGATCATGAATTCCAGACACGTTTACCAGAATCCCCAGCTCTTCTCTACCAGGTCCGACTAGGAGATGAGAAACTAGAGGTACTTATTTTTAATAGCTGTGGAAGACTCTACTTTTCAAGACTGGTTTTGAAACACTTTTTTACATTATTCTGTCTCCAGCTTGTGTACTAGAATTACTTCTTATCTATGGCTCTATTTGTGTCCCCCTCTTGCTTGTAGGCCCCCATGGGTCTTTTCTACCCGACCACATTTGGCATCGTAGGTCAGAAGATGACATCACTTCAGTACCGTTCCCAAGGCGACTCAGAGGATCCTCATGATGAACACTACCTGCTGGCCACACAGAGCAAACAGGACCAGGTAACACATGCTCACACTGAGATATGCACGCATTTCACATGTTGAATTAACTAAATTCTTGAGATAGAAGCTCTGTGGCCAATTTTTAAATTTAATATTTCCCTTTTTCTCTATCAGTCCTCCAAATCAGCTGCAGACCGGAAGGCCGTTTCCAGACCAGGTGGAGGTTTGGATGGTGAGATGAGCGGTCAGGGAGGAGTCGGGGAGCTCTCTGACCTGCCCAGGGGCTGTGGGAGTGGCGGCAGTGGAGGAGGAATGAAGGGGGAGATGGAGCTCGGGCCTGCCCAGGGGGAGTGCCTGATGGGTGCAGGAGAGGTGGAGGAGCCCCTTTCTGCTCACCTCTCCAGGAAGACCGCTATCATGAGCCAGTTTGAGAGCAAAGCACTGGGCCTGGATAAGGCCATCCTGCATAGCATCGACTGTTGTGGTAAGAAAGGACAGAAGAAGGGACCATGTAGGCATAGCAGGCAGGCAGACATGAAGTTAACAAGGTTCTTTAAAGGAGACCGTAACGATTAAATTGGGTCTCAAAATGGAAATAGTGAGGAATTCGTAAATAAGAAAATATATATAAAAAAACAAAGGATGTAGAGGAGGGCAGATGTTTTACAGTCCTCCAAATGTCCTATTCACCTCGTCTTTTTTGCCGACAGCATCAGACGAAACCAAACGCAAGATGTACAGCTCCATCCTGGTAGTGGGAGGAGGGCTCATGTTTCACGGTGCTCAGGAGTTTCTGCTTCACCGCATCATCAACAAGATGCCGCCGTCATTCAGGAGGCTGGTAGACAACGTGGAAGTCATCACAAGGCCAAAGGTATATGGGATATGTTGAACATGAATGTAAAGTAGCATGGTGTTCATTTGTGAGTATGTCAAAGGTTGGGAGTTAGTAGAATGAAAGCTACACACAGATCCTCTAATGTACCGTTTGCTAATGTGCATGCACTGTAGGACATGGACCCTCGGCTGATATCGTGGAAGGGGGGAGCAGTGCTGGCGTGTCTGGACACCACTCAGGAGATGTGGATCCACCAGGGGGAGTGGCAGCGCTTTGGTGTCCGCATGCTTCGTGAGAGAGCTGCCTTTGTCTGGTGAAACCAAACAGATTTTACCTGAATTAACACCTCGTCTGCGTGAGGAGGCCTAGCGTGAGAGCAGTGGGCAGCAAGTTAGCAGACGCAAATGTTAAAATGACAACACCATCTCTAGTGGGAAAGTCTTACAGTGTTGAAAAACATCATCCGTCTTAATTTTTAGATGTGTTGGCTGTTTCATCCACCAAAAACACAAATGAGGTCATTGTGTCATTTTTGAAGACTCTTAAATAAAATAGGAAGTTTACTTGTTAATATTCTGTAAATATTACTGCTTTTCCTGTTTATGGAAGTTTGTGTAAATAAAGCCTTGGACACTTGGATAAACAATAGTTGCATTTTATTGAACAAACAGAATCCACCTTTCTTGAAATTCTGAACATATTGAATTTAAATACAAGATAGCCTCCAGTACAGCCCAAATCTGTCTTCACAAACCCAGTAACTCTTACATGCATTATGCAACTGTTATAGCTGAGTTAACAGAATGACTAATGCCTTCACACTCTCACACGCTCTGCCATTATCCACATTGTATTTCAGATACAAAATCACCCACTTATAAATCTACTTCTTCTGACATTATCAATTTATTGAAGTATAGTCAAAAGTATGCTATCATAAGACAAACTCAGTAGGAACATCTTTTCACAGCACAATTTTTATTCAAAGAGAAGGATACAAAACAGACAAACTCCAGGACTCCCTGGAGGGATGATCATAACCGAGACTCACATCTGCAGAAGACTGTTGTGACAGGAAAGTGTAATGGCTAAACCAGGAAGATGGGAGGAAGTGATGCGGTTAGCTGCTGTATCGGCCATTCTGGCCCCTATGTGTAGGAATTCCCAGAATGGCGTCAAGAAACTGCGCATGGCAGCGGCAGCCGATGAAGAGGGGCTTCAGCACAGTGATGTCACCATTAGACACCATCTTTCTTTAGGCTCAGTGAACAGACACCGTGCCAGGCCCCACGCCTACACATCCAGTGTAGGCGTTTACCTACAGAGAAGTGAGGGAGGATTAATATTTTCAAATCTCCAAATATATGTTGGGGAATTTAAAAGAACAACTTTACATTCTTAAAGTCCTAATCTGACTTTGTGATATAGGCTCCAGAAATAGAAGGTATGAGATATCAACAAGGTTTATCTGATGAGTAATGTTTAATTCAGAAAGAACTATTCCTCACCTTCCTCATCCTCCTCCACCCATTGGTGGAGCGTCAGGACCTCCACCGTGGGCTATTCTTCCCATCCGTCTCCTGCCACCAGGGGGACCTGGAGGACTGCAAAAGCAACAGAAGTGAATAAGGAGAGGGGACAATGGTATGAAAGGTATTATGTAAAAAAAAAAATATGTAAATGTAATAACTAATATTTATTGTATTCATCATTTCATTGCTTGTGTCAGATATTTGAAACTGGAGTGCAGGGGATTGGCACCATGAATGAGAAAGGTACCTTCACTCACAGCCACTGTAGTGGGCAACAGCATAAGGTAATATTTAAACTCTGCAGCTCAGGTCAGGACTTTCCTCCAATTCTTAAATAAGCTGTTAATAACTAGTGGATGGATAGTGGTCGATCCAACAAAATGCACAGAATAAAAGATGTTTACACAATATGAACCAACTGTTTTTCTTTCAGTTTAACAGGTTACCCTGTTGTAAATAAAACCCTTAGCTAGTTCCATCTGTGGTACATGGTGCCACAGACTACACCGCATCAGGTTAGGTTACATTCAGTGTTAAGATAGTGTGTGTCTGTGTGTGTGTGTGTGTGACAGACCCAGGGACCTACCCTCTGCCATCACTGCGTGACGGAGCACAGTTTCCGTCCTTTGTCATGTTAGGTTGAATCAATGTCTTAAAACTGGTGGAGGACAAAGAAGATCAGAGTGAATGAGTGTTTGGTTTATGGCAAAATACCTGCAACACAAATGACATTCCTACAAACATCAGCAGCATAAACCTCATCACTAAATGTTAGCATGCTAATGCCCTAAATGAAGAAGGTAAAAGTTACACCTGCTAACCATCAGCATGTTAGCGTTGTCATTGTGAGGCCGGAGCATGTAGGCACTAAGCGCCCCCTACAGCACTGCCTCCACAGGGCACGCTGCATGGCTTAATCATAGTTTATAGTATTTAATATTCCCACCTTTCAACTTTGTTATTGCCTATGGACTTCTTCCTTCCTGTCATTAATTCACAGCCCCAGCATTTATATCAAGTATTATTATCAATATTGTTATTATTTCCATTTGTTTTTACTAGGAACAGGTTAACAATATTAAACAAAAAAAATCCATATTATGAGGTTCCTCTCATCACTTTTTGTTTTCTTTGTTTCAATACGACAATACTACTGTCTGTCTGTCTGTCTGACTTACTACAGGCCGATAAACTCCACTGCTCCCCAGAAGAGATCGACCAGGAAGGACAGTCGCCATGGTGACTGGCTCCTGCTGTCCAGGACTTGACCTAAGAGAGACACACGTAAGGAGAGAGAGAGAGGGGGGGGCAGGGGTCGGGTGATGGAAGACGGAATAGCTTGTGATGTTATGAACTCTCCTTGCACTGGCATTCAGACCACATTAACTAACACACACTACAGCAGAGCCTCGAACTCAAACACATCTTAGATGCAGTGCAAGTCTGGGGGCTAAGATGTTCTCAGCCTCAGTTAAGATGCTTTAAAGAAATGTTCGCCTCATGTTCAGAACGGCACACTCAATAAACTACTGCAGTGAACACGGAATAGTATGCTGAGTAATGGAGGTACAGAGAGACCCTCTTGGAGAAGACTCCAGCAGTTCTACACTAAACGCCAGATCCAGCCAGGCCCTAGGCCTTGCCAACAGGCTAATCGCAAGCCAGTTAGCCCAAACACTGGGCTACATTACCAGCATTCATGTCGACATTATTCTTTAACTGAACATATTCAACGGACAACACGATATATATAGGAACAATCTATATGTTTGTTCTGAAGACGAGAGGACACCACTCACCGTTGGACACGTACACCATCTTTTAGAAAGTAGCAGCTTTCTCAGCTGTGTTTACGATTAGCACAGCACTTCCGGTTGCGTTACTTTTGCGTCATTCTCGGACGCGCATGTGCAGTCGTACAAAAACTTTATGTAATGAGGCAATATTCAACCCACTTTTCTATCGTGAATTTTAATATGTAAGATGCCATTCTATTATAATGGTTTATATAGAAATAAATAAAAACATCCCTGCACTAAAAATCCCAGCTTTCATAAAAGTTTAATGATCAATTCTAATTCGACTTTATGGGGTCTTTCCAGTACAAATTGGAGAACTTGTAGGCCTTACTTTAACAGAGTATCGTTCCGCATTCTAATGGGCAACTCTATACTTCTACCTCCAACTACATGCTCCAGAGGCTAATGTACAAATTTAGGCAACAGTGACCATTCATTTATCGTTTGTTTGCTGATGTGGCTTTGTGTCCTCGCTTAAGGTTGGTTTGAATTGTGCACATAAAACATAAACAAATCAGACAACCATCACTGCAGCAGTGCCAGAGCATAGCACATTTCTAATTTCAACAGAAAGCACTGACAGCTTGTGTGTTTTTATGTCATGTTTTAATATGCAGTACAAACATTACATATGTTGTCTGACGGATCTGTGTCCCACTCCCGTCCCTGCCAAAGCTATGCACATGCAGGTGCTACAAATGTGAAATTTAGTAAAGGAAGGCAGCATGAGAGAGAGATTCAATACCTCATGGTGGGGTCATCAATTATCATTCAAAACATGTGCAGCAAAAAGTAAGTAGTGCAGGTGAACGTCTCATTGTACTGAATCATTTTAACTTTATAAAAGTAGACAAAAGTGCTTTATCTGCATCATCCCAGAGGTTGCTGAAGGGATGTTCTGAAACCTGGGGTTTTGGGTAGAGCCTGGGTGAAACTGAGAGTGAAAAAGCAAAGCAGCAACCACTGCAGCTGAGCACCATGGCCTGAGAAACCTGGCATATAGTATTTCTCGTTTTATAAAAACACCACTAAGACATGTTAGAAGATACCTTATGCAGATCTACAAACTAACATCTTGTTTCGAAAAGTAAGCTGGGGGATTTTACAGAGAGTGAAGGAACTATATTTCAGTCTCTTATGGGATTGTAGTTGCTGCTTGGTTCCACATATTATCCACAAGAGATTCTTCTGGTACATATAACCTCAAAAGGCTGTTTTACAGTGCAACACAGACAGCTTCAGCATTTATCATCTCAGCATTGCACTGGTCTAC